GCCTCTTTTCTCCATTGGATGCTTTATTCCTTGAATCCGATGGTTTTCTCTTTGCTGATTTCCCTTGATTTGGTGGAGCATATATTTGGTAGCTTCTTGAAGATCCTTGGGAAATTACTTTTCTGAGTCTAAATTGATAGTTTGTCTAGATTTTAAAATTATGTATTGTCATATTTTTTAAAGGGTCATTCCATTTTCTTTCAACTTGTATTACTACCATTGAGTCATCAGGCCTGTGTCATCTTGTTCCTGATGCTTTCTATTTGGGTCATCTTTTTCCTTTTGGAAGATTTTGTAGTCTTTGAAATCCATAATACTTTTAAAAAATTCATAGTGAGGGCCTCCCTGGTGGTACAGCAGTTGAGCGCTGGGTTGTGAAGCTGCCCGCAGCCTCTGCAGTGCCAGTTCGATCCCCGGCTGCTCCCCGGCCACGGGAGGAGGGTCCCGCATGGCGCGCAGACCTCTCCTGCTGCCCGCTGCTCCCCTCAGCAGTGTACTTCGGTCCTTCTGCCTGCTCTGCTCCCCTCTCTGGCTCTGGTGAATTCTCTCACCCTCCTGGCTCTGGAGAATTCTCTCACCCTCCTGCGCTTCTGACTGTACCCAGTGCTTGTATAAATAAATGAACAAATAAATCTTGAAAAAAAAAAAAAAGAAAAAGATTTATTTATAAAAAAAAAATTCATAGTGATATGAAATCTCCATGTAGATCTTTATACCTTCATTATGCAAGGCTCCATATGGGTCCTTTCAAGCTTTAAACTCATATTCACCCTCATCCTTAATTTTTTTATAAATATAACACTTTTAAACTTTTTTCTAAATCTAGCCACACTATCAACCAACCAGTCTTTTGACTTATTCTTACAAAGGAGTAAACTCTTGGCATTCTTCTTAGTTGTCTGGGTCAAATGAGAATCTTTTGTAGGCTTCACACTAATCTATTTCCAGCCCTAACTGTGCCCTCCAGCTATTGAGGTACTAGTGCTGGTAACTCTTCAACTTTTCCAGGGCTTTAGTTTAAGTAGAAAAACTGCTTTTGTGGCTAAATCCTGAAATATATTATAATTCAAACATAATTATTTATTTTTTCTTAAGTAACACTAATAATGGAAAGGTCAGGAAGCTAGTCTTCTTCCATGTAATCATTAGGGCCCAGACTGAGAGTGGCTTGTCTGTCTTCAACATGTGACCTCTAAGAAGATTACCCCAAGGGTCATCTCCATTCCAGCCAGTCATTCTTATGACTGAATGGAGTGTGCAGAGAAGATTTTTATGAGCCAGGCTTCAAAGTGGTATATGTCACTTCTGTTTACCTTCTGTTTGCTAAAACTCATTTTACCTATTTCTAATGGCAAGCAAGGCTGGGAAACATAGCCTGGGTATCTGCCCAGAAAGAAGACTTTGAACATATGACTTTTGAACAACTAGCAACCTCTGTCACTCCATTGATCTATGAAGTGGAATCGTGTAAAGCACTTAGCTTTCTCTAGTCTGGGTCAGTTACCACTTTTCTGTTTGTTTTCTACATTTCAAAATTTTGTCATGTCTCTTTTTTCTTGTTTTTTTTAATTGTTATCTTTGTTATTCTTTTGCTATCATTTTACTGACATTTTGGGGTTAGAGCAGAAGTGGATGTACAGTTACACTGTCATTTAAAATATGTAGACTGTTGTGCCCAAGATCAGCAGACTTGGTGAGCATAATCTCCAAGAACCCAAAGACAGCCGATGCAGACACAAAAGGGAGTTTATTACAGACTCGAGTCCGAGCTCACGGTACCTACCAACACAGCGGCAGATATCGAGAGCCCGAACAAAGGAAGCAGGGGTATTTTATAGGGTTATGCTGGCAGTTACTCATTGGCTACATGGATGCATTCTTCAATTTTGCCCGGCTATAATGCTAAGCTGACTGGCCCGGCTGAGATGCAGCTCCAGCCTGCAGCTCCAATTACGGCAAGTTCGCCCTCATTGGGGACCGGAGGGCAAGGGTGGAGTGAGGGTTGAAACTGTTGAAACTATCTCTGGAATGCAGTCCTCATTCCCGGGACAGCAAAACCTAAAATTCTAAAATGGCAGTTACACACAAAATGACAAAGCAATGGCTAAGAATACTTATGCTTGGTTCCACATAGACCTGGGCCTCCTAGTGGTGCAAGGGGTTAAGAGGCAACCTATGAAGTTATCTGCAGCCACTGCAGCACGAATTCCATCCCTGGCCAGGGAGCTACCCACATGGCACAGCAGACCTCTCCTGACTTGCCTGCTGCTCCTCTCAGCAGTGTATTTCAGTCAATCTGCCTGTTCTGTTCCCCACTCTGTCTCTAGAGAATCCTCTCACCCTCCACACCTCTGGCATGTACCCCAGTTCTTGTATGTATAAATAAATAAATCTTTAAAAAGCAAATAAAATAAAATATGTAGACATAATAAAATGACTACAGAAAACATCTCTGAGATTCGTTTAGATTTATTGACTATAAATTTTTAACTCAATTAAACTGAATATTTTGTTATGTAATGCTGGTAATGCTAACGCTGGTAACTCTTCAACTTTTCCAGGGTTTTAGTTTAAATAGAAAAACTGTTTTTGCAGCTAGATCCTGAAATATATTATAATTCAAATGTATTAAACATTTTGGAAGAATATACTTCTAAATGTAGTGGTTGTTATTTGGACCGCTTGGTGAGACAGGGTTAAGAGGTTGAGGAGACTCCCTTTTTATTTTATGTACTTCAATGATATTTGAATATTTTTCAATGAGCACATTTGTGCTTCAACCCTTCTTTGGTTACTAAAGAAAACAACAGATAAAAAAATAGTGAGCAGAGCCAAAAGCCTGAAAAGCCAAATAAAATGAAAACTGGAAAATATCTGCCAAATTTGGAAATTAGAAAATCATTGGTTTTGTGATCAGAAGTGAGCTCAATGAAGAAAATATAGACTATCAGGAAACAGACATAGTGATTTTGGCTTTTTTTTTTTTGTTAGAGATCATTTAAGACAAGGATGGGTGATACAGAGGCATGAAGAGACAGGGAGTGGTATAGAACTGAGAAAGCAGGGTCTAAGGTTTGTGGAGGCATTTTCTCCCAATATACGTAAACACTGAGTATGTTTTATAGCCTATGTTTTATAGCCTATGAGTATGTTTTATAGCCTGAGTATGTTTTATAGTCTTCCTACTAAAGGTCCAGTAGGAAGGGAGGAAAATTTAGAAAAGAAATTACTTCAAGGAAAATGATTTTAGAGCTTTATTTGTTTCATATGCCCAGGGATGATTAGACTCCCTTACAAGAGTAAGAGTAACCAGGTAAAGTAGTGTTCAGCAAGACCAGCGTAGAAGGGAAGCTCCATGCTTTAGGTTAGGAGGACTTTGATTAGATGGCATTTGAAGCCCCTTCTAGTCTTTAGTTCTTCAAAACCAACTTACCTGTCTTGGTCCTGCTAAGCATGGCCTTGACAGAAACATCACATCACTTTAGTTTGACTTAAGCTAAGAATCCAATCTTATTAGTGAGAGAGATAAGAATGGAGATTTTCTGTTTCTTTTGAGGAGCAAAGCATTCTCTAAGTGTAACATCAGGAAATCTGACAGAGTTAGCACTTCCTAAAGCTCTTTATCAAGTTAAGAAGCACTCATTTTCTTTAAAGTGCTGCTCTCTCTTCTTTTCCCAAAGATACTAATTTAGAATCTGCTTTGCCAAGTATCAGTGTATTTCGGGAATCCATTTCTTCGCCTCCCCAGGGTTATAGTGAGTCATGGCTCTGACTCCATTCTTCCTCAGAAATCTATAAGGTGGTAGATAATGAAGACCTTCTCCAGTTCTGTTCACTTCCGTGGGAAGGTTCGAGGCGCTGGGCTTCTAGAAGTGACTCTCTTCCCCTAGAATTGGAGCACTGTCTGATATGTATCACATAAAAACTTGGAATTAGACTCTATCTTTTGAAGGATTGTGAAGTAATTGTAAACTAGGAGTAAGATATTTATACATAGAAATTTCTAAGGTCAAATTACTTTTCAAGAGATGACTTATAACTTCTAGAGGCCATTTTAGGGTAGACACAGTGGAGGATGGATATATCTGCCCTAGGACTTTTCCTAAGCACTATCAAAGAGCAGACTTACATTTACATTCCTCATTCTGCTTCCTGACATTAGCTATCCTGGCACAGATATAACATTTAATTAAGTCCCCTGCTTTTTGGTCAGACTGTCCATTTTATACTCCCACTTTTGACACGTTGAAGAGAGGAGAATTGGATGACAAACATATGGCATGAAGAGCCTTATGTTCCTTGTAGTCCAGAGGATGTTAGTAAGAATGATTTTTGTGGGTTCTACCAGGTTTCAAAGCATGCCTCCCGAGAGAGTTGCTCATCAATCATGAATTTCTGTTTTCCCATCTATCTGCCCCATGGGTGATTCAACCAACAGGAGATCCAAGCCACTAAGGCATATATAGATTGGGTCCAAAAGATAATAATGTAAGGAAATGAAACTTGAAATAGCAGTAGACAGAACTTCTGACAACCAGTGCTAGGTAATGTTTTTCAGCCTGTGAGAATGCACTACTCTTTCTCTAAGTCACTTGGGAAGATAGACATGTTCCATATAGACTAAGACTACTTTTCTCCTGAAATGCCCTTGTAATGGGATGGGGTGGGGGGCAAAATAGGGGGAAAGGCTATAAACCCAGGTAGTCCAAATAACAAGGGTCCCTCAGTTCTTTTCAACCTCTAGAATATTCACTGGCCCTCTCTGTATTTTCCAGAGTCCCACGTTACTCTCTCATTCATTCAGGGTCACCTACTACAAATCAGCTTATAGTGTCTACCCTGACAATACCAGGGAAGTTCCTACTTGAAGGAAGAATAAATAAGAAGCAAAGGTAGAGCTCAGTTATGTGAAACTTATGCATTATTTCTGTAGCACCTCTGGGACAACGGGAGGAAGAAATGACCTGTCTCTAAAATGTCTCTGTTTTCTATTTCTCAAGCAACCTCATAATATTCTACAGAGGCGCCTTATGGAAACCAACCTCTCTAAGCTCCGAAGCAGTCGTGTCCCTTGGGCCTCCAAGACCAACAAGCTCAATCAGGCTAAGTCTGAGGGGCTAAAGAAGTCTGAGGAGGATGACATGATTTTGGTTTCTTGCCAGGTAATATTCTCAGAACAGCTTTTCCAGAGTTTTCTGTCCAGTATGGTTTTAAACCCTTTATGTTCTTGATAGTGGGAGTCCTGTCCTCTAAACTGTACAGAATGTAGGTCTTACCTTGGAATTCATAGATGAACGTTAATTTCATCTATGAACGTTAATTTTCATCTATGGCCCTGCTGGAGGTGTGTGCAGTATTTTGTATGCATGTTCATATTTACAGGAAAAAAAAGACCAAAATTTTCATCAAATTTGCAAAGGGATCTCTCTCTCTCTCTCTCTTTCTCTCTCTCCCTCTCTCCCTCACACACACACACACACACACACACACATACACACACACACACTCTCTCTCTCACACACACATAGTATATAGAATGAAACATCCAAAGTCCTTTGGGATACTCTCTTAGCTCTAGATTCAACAACAAAAAGAACCCTTCAAAGGAGACTCAGCAGTGGCTAAAAATGAAACACTACTAACCCCTGTGAGAATGCTCTTCAACCTTACCTGTCATATAACATCTGCGCTTACTCCCTGGCTCTCCCTTCCCTGTTTCTTCTCTGGCTCCTGTTGAACAATGTGTTTCCTCTCCATAGTGTGCTGGAAAGGATGTAAAGGCCTTGGTTGACACAGGCTGTCAGTATAATCTCATCTCTTCAGCCTGTGTGGACAGATTGGGGTAAGTAGCCACTTGGGCTGGGTGGAAGTTAGATGCTAATACACTGTTTGCCTGAATATATTTTGAACTTAGAGATGGTTGAGGGTCTCCATAGAGGCCCCAAAAGAAGTGTGAAGAACTCAACTATCAGCCAAAATCAATCCTTAGTGGAGCGGTGAAGTGGTAGGTCCTTGGGCAACTGGGAGAAATCAGTGAGCCAGGAAAACCTCAGGCTCCACCTATTAAGTTTTGAGCAAAGACCTCTAGACTCTGAAATAAGAGACTATGGAGTCCTTGGATCACTGTATGCACTTCCCTGATCCTGTTGTATGTCCTGCCAAGGCAACAGATTAGAAGAAACTGTCCTATTCATATACCTAGACAAATGAAAGCAAGAATATGGTTGACTTTAGCTTACTCAGGGTCTTTCTGGAGGCTACATTACCTGTCCTAAGAAACATCAGTCAGAACTTGGAGTAGGGCTGTAGTTACTACTGGCTGGAACCATCATTAAGATAGCTAATAGTATCTTCCCTCCTTCTGGAGAACATGTAAAATCAGATCTTACTGCTGGCCCTGCTGGAGATTTGGTGTGAGACGGACACACTGTGTAATGAATGTCTCAGCTCTCCAACAGCTGGAATTGAGTTTTCCTTCTTTCAGCCAAAGTGAGCCATTTTGTATCTTTTCTCCTTTTCACTCAATCTTTATTTCTGTTTCTTTCCTTTATTCCTTTTTTTCCCCTCCAAAGTACCAGTTGGGTTCCAAGGGATAGTCCAGGAGAAATCAAGTCAATATCCTTTTCCACTTTTCTGGCCCTAAGTTCAATAAATCATTCCCCAGTCTAAATCTCTGTATTGAAACAATCCATAGGACAGATATAATGGCCCATTTTAAGCTACTTTCAAGATGTCCATACTCTTAGGTAGGGCTTGCACAGGACTTGATTTGTGTAATCAGTAATCTCTGCTATATGATCTATTCCTTCTCATTTCTACCTTTTCATCACCCCTCGCCACCACTGTGACTCTGTAGCTGCATGTAAGGCTTTTGTGCATTGCTGTTTAGGGTAGTGGGGGAGTCCAGGACACAAGTGTTCTTGCAGGAAGAATCATAAGCTGTTTTATGGGGTAGAGAGATGAGATATAGTGCAACATGAAGGTTCCAGAAAGACTAATAATGTCCTGCTGCATAATTAGGCAGCAGACTGCCATGATTCCAGAGGAATTAATAACCATCTGTAAAACTGCAATTATTTTTCTTGTGGATGGTCTGTTATACCAAAAGAGAGGAAATGGAGTAAAGCAGAAGTATTGGCACAGAAAGTCCATAATTAAGTATTTATCTACCAACCCATAATAGCTCAGGTGCTAGCTGCTCCAACAGTTTATATAACTGTGTAAAACCTTGGTGCTGTTTCTTTCCATCCTCCCCTGCACAGACTAAATTTTAATTAGGACTTTCTCCATGATATTTTTTAATGATTCCAGTATCAATGCATTTATAAATAAGTACCTGCCTCCATTAACCTTAGAGCCTAAGAATATCTGGTAAGGCTAGATTTAAATGGAAAAGAAAAGGAGAACATTAGACATTAAGCAAAAATTAGGATTAACCTGCTCTCTCTGTGATGTTACCCACAGAGGGATAAAAGGCCATGTTAACTTGTACATGGACAGGGACACTCTCTAGCTTAGGGTTCTCTGAGTATATTTGTCAACTGGCTTTCACCAATGCAGGTAGTGAAACAGATTTTTAAGAACAACAGTTGAATCTTTAGTATTTTTTTTAATCCCCCTGCATATTTAGAACTAGGTGCTGAAACCAAAAGTATGTGCTGTTAGCATTTTTTTTGTAAATTAATCCCAGAAAAGTAGAGAAACTGTAGTGGTGGTCAGAAGGCAGGCATTGCCATATACCACAAGGAACCTCTGCGAAGGGGATTCTGGTATTTTTCTTTCTGGTGCAGACTCAAGGAGCATGTCAGATCTCACAAGCATGAAGGAGAGAAGCTTTCTCTACCCCGGCATCTGAAAGTAGTGGGCCAGATTGAGCACCTAGTGATCACATTGGGCTCCCTCCGCCTGGACTGCCCAGCAGCTGTGGTTGGTGAGTAGAATTGGATATTAGACTATATGTAAATCCTTTCCCTGGGTCTCTTTGGTGATGCAGGGGTTAAAGATACAGCATTATCCAACTATCATGAGCCACTGCAACATGAGTTATCTCTAGCCAAGGAGAAAATCCACATGGTGGAGCAGACCTCTCCTGTCTTGCCCACTGCTCCCCTCAGCAGTGTATTTCAGTACATTTGCCTGTTCTGCTCCCCCACTCTGTCTCTGGTGAATCCTCTCACCGCCCCGGCCCCCCCCACACCCCCCAACTCCTGCCACAGATCTACATCCCAGTTCTTGTATGCATAAACAAATACATCTTTAAAAAAAATTAAAAAAAAAAATCCTCTCCTTACTTCCACCAAGCCCTCATGAGATCTCATGCCTGTAAATTTTTACTTTTTTTTTAATAAAGATTTATTTATTTATTTATACAAGCACTGGGTACAGTCAGAAGCACGGGAGGGTGAGAGAATTCACCAGAGCCAGAGCAGGGAGCAGAACAGACAGAGTGACGAAATACACTGCTGAAGGGAGCAGCAGGCGCAGCAGGAGAGGTCTGTCGCTCCATGTGGGACCCTCGCCGGCAGCCAGGGATTGAAATGGCGCTGCAGAGGCTGCGGGCAGCTTTGCAGCCCAGCACTCAACCGCTGTGCCACCAGGGGAGGCCCCAGATTTGTACTTTTCTGTGGAATATAGACCTTGTCCCATTTTGTGTCCTCTAAAATGCCAGCTGGACACTAAGCTATATTCAAGACATGTTGAGAATCACTCAGAAAAAAAAATCTTCTTTAGAGACTTATTTTTAAGTCATTTTTGAATGAACCATTAAGTTTTAAAAAACCTGAAAATTTCTAGAAGCTTTAGAATGCTTTCTGCATACCCGAATAGCAGCTGCATTGTTCATCCTTACATGAGGAACTCACGATAAAAAAAATTTTCAAGGTGCAAGGAAACAAGCATTTTTTGTGTGTAGATGAAAATAGCTATGGAAAGCTTTTCGCGAGTTGAAGGTAGAGAACAAGGTCTTCTTACTTGTTTTGTCATAAATCCTTACTCCTTTGTCATAAATCCTTTGATAATTTTCCACTATCTCCTATATTTCCTCTCATATACTCTAAAGTTCCTGATTTTTGTTTAAAGTTAAAAAGTCGTGAGTTTGAATATTGGCTCTCTTGCCTTTTAACTATAATCCTCTAGAGAAATTACTTAATAGATGCTCAACAGATGTTTGTTGGATAAATGGATGGATAGTGAAATGAAACCTAATAGTGATACCAGCATGAAAATGGCTGAATCTTAATTTTTTTTTTTATTAGAGGACAATGAGAAAAACTTGTCCCTTGGACTTCAGACTCTTCGATCACTGAAGGTAGATTGATTCTACTTTCCCTTGATTTCTCTCTATGGCAGTGTCTTCTTACATGGAGACCCCATCGTGGTTTTATTGACAGTAACCACTGATTCCCCTTTGTTTCAGTGTATCATAAACTTGGATAAGCACCGGCTGATCATGGGAAAAACAGACAAAGAAGAAATCCCTTTTGTGGAGATAGTTTCCTCAAATGAAGCCAAGTGAGTGCCCAAAAGCATCAAGTTAAGTCAAATCCATTTGTTATGAGCTGGATTTGGGGGTTTTCACACACAGAATATGGGATTGTGTTCTGCCTTTGGCCTTCAGTCATATCACAGTACATCCCTTCCCATCCCACAGAACACCTAACCTACACTTCAGAATGAGCAGCAGTAATACTGCACAAAATGGTTGGGAAAATGAATAGCTTTTAAACTAAAACTGTACTTGTCTTTAGCCTAACGTCTTTGAATTTGGTATCATTACTTCTATTTCTTTCTCATTTCAGCACTTCAGAAGCATAATTACAGCCTGCAGCATATCTGCATGTATGCACACATACCAGTTTGACAGATTGAGAAAATTGGGTTCCAACTAAACACAGAAGCAACTTGCTGTGGACCAAGTCCTTCCCTCTAATACAAGCTCTAAGGGTTCCTTCCCACCCAGACCTCTCTAGACTTTAGTCTGTGCTTAGAGATCTTGTCTGGTTATAGCCATTGTTTTTTACTCCTTTGATCACTTAATTTATAGACTGTTTTGACACTGCCAGGTCTCACTTGTGTCCTATTTCTCTGCTTCTTCCTCAAATTTGTCTTTATTTGTCATATAGAGGCCACTCTATTTCAGGTTCTATTTCTCCACACATACACTTGCTTCTTTTCCAATAGCTAAAGTGTATAATAAACAGGAGTCTTTTACCTCCTTTCAGTTATTTCAAAGAGGTTGCTTAAACCTTTTTGTTGGCATGTCAGATAAGGATACCTATAAAGGAATCTTCCCTTCAATTTGCTTATGGAAGTGCTTAGAGTAGTTAGAAAAATAGTCAGGCATGGGTATCCTTTAAAGATTCCCAAGTCTACCCATAGCTGTAATTCATGGAATATTTAATGGATCCCACTTTGAACTTTGCTATGTCTCACCAAAAATCTCATCTAATGTCCAGCTACTGTCCCTACCAAATGTTTTTAGCTCTAAGCTCCCTGAAAACTAGGAACTTGTTGGCTCCTATTTGAACAACTAGACAGCCATTCTGTAGCCAGTTATCACTGGGTCATCCCCAAACCCCCTTCTCAGCTTCTGTAGTGGAAGTGGGATGGAAAACGTAAGCACAGCCACAGTAGGGGAGGCCACATCTGAATCTCAGCAGAGGTGATCCCAGGGCTACCAGCCTTCAGCATTCCCTCCAACCCCACTCCATTCTCTTACCTATGGTGGGTGGTCTGCAGCTTTCCTGTGAGGTCCCTTCAACTCTTCTCCCTTATTCTGCCATGACTTTGGCCCATTTCTTATTTCCAGGACACAGCTGAAATACTTCACCTCTTCCTTTCCTAATTGAAAGTTCTGTCCAGCCTTGATTCTTGGCCACAAGACAGGCATGATGGAACTTCCTTGACTTACTTTATCTTTATTTGGATTCTCTATATACCAAGTGAAATTCTCAGGTGCTGGGAAGATATGACTTATTCTGGCCCTTTGAGTTCAGGATCATATGCATCAGGGGAATGATCAGATGGTCTTTAGTGATCTTTCCAGCCTCTGAGAATCAGTCAATGATTTTCTAATTTGGGAATAGAAGCAGTTGGGGTGGTCTAAGCTTAAAGTATCATAATCTTACTCAGTGCAATGAATCATTTGAATTCACTAACCAAATAATTGTGCATTTAAACCTCAGCCTTGATAGAGGCACTGGAAATCTTCAAAACAATTATGGGAAATCTTGAGCTTCATTAATCTTTTTTTTAATGCTCTTGCTTTGATTATTCTGATAACCCTTATCTCCTTGACATTCATATGGAGCACTGGGTCTTCTCAGGACTGGCAAGGTAAACAGATAAGGTCAGTTCTTCCCAGAATCCTAGAAAATTCTCTCTGGCATCTCTTATTGAGGTTGTAGGGAGAGTGTCTACCCAGTTTATAGTTCTGAAGACAGGTCACAGTAAGAAGTAACCTACAGAACTGGTGACCCTTGTATGCCATATTTGATGTCTCTCTGAAATACGGTAGTTTAAAAAACATTGTTTTTGTCGTTTAGTATTTCTATGCCTGACTCATTTGAGTAACAAATGTTTTCCGACTTTCCTATTTCCTTGCCTTGCACAGACCTCACCTGGTAAGATTTCTCTATTCCTTACCTCAAAGTGTCTATAGAATTGGTTTCTTGGTGTGTCAGCTATTCTAACATTTGTGTAATAGAACTATTTTTCCAGGCTGGGGACATGAAGGAGATGAACTGGATTTTTCCCTCCTTCTGTCGCCAGACCTCTGCATTGGCACTTTATCTGCTCAATGTTTTTGGCTGTGTTGGGTTTATTTGTTAGACTGATGTAATAATAAAGTGAAATCTTCCCCTCTGTGTGCTTGTCTGATGAAGTTTTTGTGTCAGGACCCCGGGAAAATGGGGAAGCCTAGGCACAGCCTAATTGCATCAGTGTTTCTCTCTTGGGTTTTTTTTTTTTTTTTTAAGATTTATTTATTTATGCATACAAGAACTGATGTGTAGGCCAGAGGTGCAGGGGGGTGAGAGGATCCACCAGAGACAGAGTGGGGAGCAGAGCAGGCAGATGTACTGAAATACACTGCTGAGGGGAGCAGAGGGAGAGACAGGAGACGTCTGCTGCACCATGTGGGGCAGCTCCCTGGCTGGCTGCAGTGGCTGACAATAGCTTGATAGTGCTGTATTGCACCACCAGGGAGGCCCCACTCATAGCGTTTTTTTTAAACAAGGCTTAGTGGTCTTCATTTCTTCCATTGTTATTTCCCTTCATCTCCCTCTTACTGTCCTTGGGAAAATTAGTGACACTTGCTGAGCTAGGTTTTATAATCTACGAAACAGAAATTATAATAGCACCTACTTTACAGTATCAAATGAGATAACCCAAATAAAGTGTAAGCATATGGTAGTCCCTCAATGCTTTAACTTTGTATGAGAATCATCTTTTTTAGTGGGCCGATTAGCACTGTGTGAGAAAATACATACTTCTAGAAAAGGAAATTTAGTTCAGACAAATAAGTGAGGTTTGGGAAGGAACAAATGAACCTTAATGTGTAGTTAAAAGTTCTGTCTCAATGGCATTCCAAGGAAGCTGGCATTTTACAGATGATAGAAACTTACTTTTTTAAGTGCTGATATTTTAAATATTTAAACAATGTGGTTAAGCAGTCAACAAGAGACATTTTTTGACTATGGCAACAGTTATTACAACTTAGAGGAATTATGGTTCTACTATTCAGATGGTACTGTTATTCTATCTTAGAAGGCCTTGCCTTATTTTTGTCTATTTATTCTAAATATAAAAATATAGAAAGACTTAAGCTGTCTTACCTGCCTAGATGTTCTAGAATTAAAGAATTTTGGCACTAGAGATTATTTTGTAGGTATCTTTAGCCAAACCTACACCAAACCTAGAGCAATAAGCTACAGAATCAAAATGATTTTATTACTTGCCATTCATAACATCTTAATAGAATGAAACCAACAAAATTAAAATATAACAGAATTTAAAATGTATTCTTTCACGTTTAAAGAGTCTATTGCACTTGCGTGTTGGTGGAGAACTTAGACTGACAGACCTTCATGAAGATGACATTGGTATTTTAGTTGATTACAGTTCTATATGTAGAAGTATTAAGGACTAGGTATGTAGGAGATGTTATTTGTAAGACAGGGACGTGAATACAGTTTGTGGAGTATTGAGAAAGGGGCAATGGTAGTGTGATTGTTGTCTTCAGAGGTGTCAATGTGGGAAGTGTTCTTTCTGGCACCAGAAGGCAAGTATTTCCTATAGGGGAAGGTACAGAAAGGCATATCCTGACTCAATTGGAGAGAAGAATCTACTATAAGCAAGGGATTATGCAAATTTCTACAAACAAGATAGTATTGGTCACAATTTTGCAAAAGGAAAAAGTTATAGCTCAGAGTAGTATCAGGATACAACTATTTGGAATAATTAAATAGACTTTCTAATTGAACTTATTTAAAGTGAATTTATTTCCTAGCAATATTATGAAAGAGAATTATGCATTCAGTGTAAGTTTGGATAAGGATATCTCCAAAGTCTTTATTTATTTAAAAAAAATTTAAGATTTTATTTATTTATTTATTTATTTATCTATTCATTCATTCATTCATTCAAGCACTGGGTACAGTCAGAAGCGCAGGAGGGTGAGAGAATTCACCAGAGCCAGAGTGGGGAGCAGAGCAGGCAGAAGGACCGAAGTACACTGCTGAGGGGAGCAGCGGGCGGCAGGGGAGGTCTGTGCGCCATGCGGGACCCTCCTCCGGTGGCCGGGGAGCAACCAGGGATCGAACCGGCGCTGCAGAGGCTGTGGGCAGCTTCGCAACCCAGCGCTCAACCACTGCGCCACTGGGGAGGCCGTCCAAAGTCATTTATTAAATGGCATTGTGAATCAAATGTAGTTTCCTGTTGACTCACGGCCATCACTGCTAACATAGATTCATTAATTTGGACTGAAATCTTGAGCTTTTTACCCGCCTTTGAAGGGTTGAAGACTGCTGCTGGTTTTTTTGTTTTTTTTTTTTTAAGATTTATTTATTTATAGGGCCTCCCCGGTGGCGCAGCGGTTGAGAGCTGGGTTGCGAAGCTGCCGGTAGCCTCTGCAGCACCGGTTCGATCCCGGCCACCGGGCGAGGGTCCCAAATGGTGTGCAGACCTCTCCTGCCGCCCGCTGCTCCCCTCAGCAGTGTACTTCGGTCCTTCTGCCTGTTCTGCTCCCCGCTCTGGCTCTGGTGAATTCTCTCACCCTCCCGCGCTTCTGACTGTACCCAGTGCTTGTATAAATAAATACATAAATCTTTAAAAAAAAAAAAAGATTTATTTATGTATACAAGCACTGGGTACAGTCAGAAGCGCGGGAGGGTGAGAGAATTCACCAGAGCCAGAGAGGGGAACAGAACAGGCAGATGACAGACAAAACACACTGCTGAGGGGAGCAGTGGGCGAGACAGGAGAGGTTTGTCCCGCCATGTGGGACCCTCGCCGGTGGCTGGGGATTGAACCGGCGCTGCAGAGGCTCAACAGCTCAACCGCTCAACCGCTGCACCACCAGGGGAGGCCCTGAAAACTGCTGCTTTTAAGAAATCAGAAAATAGAGGCAAACTGGCCTGTATTATAGCTTGGACTTCACTGTCAGCAGCTGCTGCTTCTTTCTATTATCAGTGCTTCCTGAGCTATAATATGTTACTGTCATCATATGCTCATTTGTCTGGCAGATAACCTACTGACAGCTGTTTTACACATGGTACCAAGCACATGGGCATTGCAACTGTTTCTCAAAGATCTTTTTATTCAAGGGTTGTGGTACGTCTGGAAGATTGGGACTGCCAGATACCTGACTAGAATTTAGAAAATCTGAATCTTTACCTGCTTTTAGGCAATGACTTGTCCAGTTGTTCTAGCAGTGTGATCCTATGCCTTGTTATTCCTTTCTAGAAACTATCACACTCTTTCCTAGATCTATAACCCTATCAGAAAATCCCCGTCACCGTAGTCAAAGAAGAAAGTTCTCTACTGGTGTTGCTGCACCAGAGTAGCCTCCAATTTGTAATGAATACAGATGACCTAATTCTGTGGGGAGTATAGATACTCCAGTGTTGACATATTCAAATCCTGCCAGTTTTCCTGAACAGGAGAAATGGATTTGGAAGAGGGAGTATTGTTGCTCTAGCAGAGATACTTAC